TGTCCATAGTATTGCAAAGACTGAAGCAATTGAGCATGTATGGCAGATACTGGCTTCATGCTTACCACATCCATTTCCCTTTTCCGGGCAGACAGTTAAACTGTATTTCCCAGGCCCTTTGCATCTAGGTGGGGCCGTACTACTTGAGTTTCTTTTTTTTTTAAACAGGGGAATGTTGGAGGAAATGATGTCTCATTTGCAGGCTGAAACATTTACAGGAGAGTGTGCCTTCTCTGTGTTCTTTGTTTTACTTGTATCTGAAGTCTTGAGGATACAAGATAAAGATGGCAGAATTGCCAAATTGAAACAGCCTGATTCTCTGAGACCCATCTTGGAGGAAACCTACTCTGGTGAATAGCTTAATAAGTGAAAGTGAAAGTGAAGTGAAGTTCACTCAGTTGTGTTTGACTCTTTGAGACCCCATAGACTGTATAGTCCATAGAATTCTCCAGGCCAGAATACTGGAGTGGGTAGCCTATCCCTTCTCCAGTGGATCTTCCCAACCCTGGAATCGAGCCCGGGTCTCCTGCATTGCAGGTGGACTCTTTACCAACTGAGCTATCAGGGAAGCCAACTTAATAAGGGAAACCTGCATTGAACTCTGCTTGAGTGGGGGAGAGACTTTGTGACAATTTACTGGTGTTTTGGAGTTTTTGTTACCACAGCCAGTGTCACTTATCCTAACACTCATTTTCTTCTCATCAATGTAGGCATTCACAGGTTTGTTGGTTCCATTTATTCTTACATCTCTTGCTTATTCAGTTAGTGTGACTGATTCTATTTTACTTTCAATATTTATATCAGTATTAAGCTAGACAATGAGTAAGTCATTTTGGCTGCCCATACTGGAATGCAGAGGCAACTCATGGAAGAATTTAATTCAATTCATTTCAATGAAAATGTAAGTGCCTATAGTATGCGAGGCGTTATGCTAAATACTAGATATATAGAGATGACAAAGTCTCTTATATCTCGGATTGAACTGTGGACTTGGGAGAACAACACAAACTCCAGATAAGCTTGGGGAAGTCAAAAACAGAGAGAAGAGGCAACTCACTTTCCTGATAGAACCGGAAGCGAATGACTTCAGAGGTGAAATGGTGGTGAAGTGGTGTTCCCCGAGACAGTTGGGGAGAGGTTCTGTGACCCAGTAGAGGTGCAGGGTTAGGAAGAGGTACCCGGGAGTGGTACAGAGCATAGACACATCCTCCATGGTCTCGCTAAGACAACTGTCACCATGCTGGGACAGGAAGGGACAGAAAGAGCTCCTCTTTATCGTACGAGCCCAGATGAACCTGAAAATGGCAAAGAGAGAAAGTGGAACTGTAGCTCTCCTAAGGCCTGTGGTTAAAGCTAAGGTGCCACCCATGAGTCATCTTCCCAACTAACCTCAGGCCAGGTGGGAATGTGAATGTTGTAGAAGCAGCTGGTGAGGAGGGATAATGACCCTAAATAGCAAATGTTTCACCCTCACTCACTCCCACTCCTGACACCTCAGCATTATATTTCTTCCTAGAACTTGGAGAAAAAGCTGGGTAAAGACAGAGAACTCTAAATTTATTAAACTAAATTTCCAATGCACAGTGAAAGGGATGCATAGTATAATGTGAGTTGATTTGCAGAAAAATACAGTTTTTTTTCTTGGACTTTTGAGTCTATAAGCAGAGATTTGGGGTGATGGGGTCCAGAGGAGTCTTTTGGGAGGAGGAGTAGATATCTGAACCGGGATGTAAAGAGCGGAGAAGAATGAGCCAGATGGATTTGGGTATTGGCAGGAGTTATCAAGTGCAAGAGGAAAAGTGTACCCTGAGGAAGGAATGGGTTCCCCCAAAGCCCTGAGTACCTGTGAAGTAACTAGGGGGGCTCACCACAAATGTTATCAGTTCAGCATTTTGGGAGATTGTGTATAAAGTGTGAAAGCATAAGCTCATTAGGTGAGGTGTCCCCACACGGAGAGCAGTAACACAGAGAGGCAAGCAGGAAGGAACAGGTCACATGACATGAATGAAGTTTTATGTGATGTTCTTGTGCTGACGAAAATCTGGGGGTCCCTGCCCTGGCCACCTCTCCACGCCCATGGCATCCCATGTTTCTCTTGTTTACTGCGTTCACCAGACCGATGCTGTTTCAATTCCACAAACATGACAAGCTTCCTACCCTTTAGACTGACGACTCCTTTTCCACTATGCTTTCCGCTTTCTTGACATGTTGAACTTGTTTGTGTATTTTGCTCTTGTTTATATATATACACATATGTGTGTCTATCTCTCTGTATAGCTCTATAGGTCCATATGTAGATATCTGCATGGGGGTCTTAGTTGCAGCACGTGGGATCTTTGTTGAGTCATGCAAGATCTTTTCTAGTGGGGTTTGGGCTCCAAGGGCTTATTTGCCCCACGGCATGTGGGATCTTAGTTCCCTGACCAGGGAATTGAATCCACGTCCCCTGCATTGCAAGGTGAGTTCTTAACCAATGGACCATCTTTGTGCTTGGAGAAGAGTAGAGTCCCTCAAAATAGTCACCGTGGAAAGCCATATACTTATTTGTTGACATTATTCTGTGTAAACCATTTGGGACTTACCTTTAAAATCTATTTGTGAGGCATATCAGAAAACCCACTTTGTTAGCTCAGGCTTCACATTTGGCCTAAAGTGACAATAATGCTGAAAAATGACACTCTGCTTGGCTTTGGATAACATTTGCCTGTTTCCAAAACCCAAATTCATCTCTAACTGTTGACTATCTTCAAAAGAATGAAACATAGACTCTGAAAGTGATTGGAAAGTGAGTCCTAGAACTGTGTTAGGCAAAAGCATCATATCCTTGGGATAAGTGAGTACTCTTCTAATGTGGTTCATTTGAAAGTTTGCATATGCTTAGTAGAAAAGAAACCTTATTGTCTTCAAATCACATCTGGTAGACTCTTTAGTGAGATGACTTAAAAAGACCTATTTTTACTCAAACTTACGGTAAGTAAATCCAAAGTACTTGCCCTCGACTTACACATACCCCAAAAGCAACTATAATTGAATCTCTCAGATTACCATATGTAATCTGCTTTCACTATGAAACAAATATGTGTAATTACTTTTTAGCCGCTTGGTCACTGTAGACAAATAAAGATAAGAGAAGATTGTGGGAATAACTACAACTGAGGGAATAACATTTTGAACATTGTGGAGGCTATTTCAGCTCCCACTCAAGTCACTTTCTACTGACAGATAAAAAATAAATAAAAGTAGAGTGATCCTGAGAAAATTAAACAGTATAATTTTGCCAATAACTGGGTAACTACAAATGTTAATAATTGGAAGAAATCAATATAAACAAAAGACATTTTCATATTTTATTAGTTTTATATAGGTAATAGAAACAACAAAAAGCAAAACAATGGTACAGCAAATTATGCAAAAGGAATATTCATCAAGCAACATTAGTGAAACAAAGTGAACATGATTTAATTTTTTCAGATTTATTTCAGTATCTGAGGCATGAACTATTAGCAAAACTTTGTTGCAGGATTTCATCTCCTGTATGGTTCATATTTCCCCTAAATTTGGCAATAATACCTTACACATTGTTGACTCAGTGAAAACAAATGAATGAGAGGCTATGGTTTAAGCTCTTAGGCTAAAATGAAATACATTTCCAGAAAAATACTCCAGGAGGGAAGACATGTGTATCTAAGGTCACCTAATTATCAGTTGATGTGAAGCCTCAAAATTAACACTTCTTTTAATTTTAATTATAGCAACTATCTAACTGAACCTGAGCAAGCTCACTGATTTTACAACTTTCACTGACAGCAAACTCCACGTACCAACTAGACTGATAAACACACATTTATTTCTTTTTCCCTCTTAAAAATTATCTACCTGTTAACTTTGTCAAATTCTCTAAACTTCTGTTATTTGGGTAAGTAATAAATATTACTTGTGGAAAAAAACCTCTCATGAGATCTATTTAGAGATTCTTTCTTATTGTACTCTGACTCTTCTCCTTGTTTCAAAGAGCTAAGTATCAGTGGACTGAAGTTTTCATTAAATCTCTTGAAGAACTGGTTCAACTGACTAGCTTTACGTTATCGTCTGTTAACCATATGAACGGGTGAGTCTATGAAGAAAGTGCACATGGATAGCTTGATAAAATGTAACAAACGATGTAGATTCTTTTTGTCTTTCTTCATGTCAATGGAGATTATCATTTTTTTTTTTTCTATCTAGCTTCCCTGGTGCCTCAGACAGTAAAGAATCCACCTGCAACACAGGAGACCTGGGTTCGATTTCTGGGTTGGGAAGATCCCCTGGAGGAGGGCATGGCTACCCACTGCAGTATTCTTGCCTGGAGTATTCCCATGGACAGACAAGTCTAGTGGGCTACAGTCCATGGGGTTCAAAGGGCACGACTGAGCGACTAAACACAACAATCTAACTATCTCTACCTATCTCCTTAAAGATTTTTCTGTATATGGGCATAGCCAGGTGACCATCTTTGAGGTGTACAAAGAACATTCATGTGGGATACAGGTGATCTCAGTGGTAATTTCTGGTCAACCACCAAATTGTTACAGTCTACAAAATAATTCATTTAACTCCTTTGGGTGTTAGTTACTTTACTGGCTAAATTTGTATTAACTGTTTGGTGGATTATTTGTTACCAAAAGCCCTGTAAAGGATGTAAGCATACCTTGATTATTATGACTATTTCTGTGTTTAAGATTCCTTGAATAAAAATTCAGATCATAAATTCCCATTGAATATAACTTTGAGTAAAATATTTTCAAAATACAGGTTATAGGTCCTGTATAGGTCTAAACACAATGACTGTATTCAGTATGGCATTATAAGCACTTTCCCCTAGTACTTTACTTATATAACTAAATGAAAACATTAGATGTTTTCAATAAACAAAAATGGGAAGATAAATTTTATCATTGTTACAATTCTTTAAAATAAGTTTAAAATTTTTATGCACCTGAATCTGAAAGGCTTTCATGGAACTAATCAAATAACCTTCTAAGAAAAGATTTCTTGGCAGGAGTAATAATTTTCCCAGAACCCTTTTTGTGGAGGGATCTCAGTGGAGGCTTTTTTGATGATTGAACTCTTTTGGGAGTTTGCAGTGCTCTTGCTATCTCCACATGCTCGTTGCAGTAATATTTATTGCTTCCTTCTGACAGTTGGATGAGTGTGCGTTCTGCCAGATCCATACACTGGGCATGGACCCAATGTCCATCTCCATGAGAGCAATAGATCATGGCAGGCTTGTTGAGCTCAGTTGAATAAAATGGTACCCAAGTGTTGATATCCACATCACAAGTAGAACAGCATGTAATCCAGTAGCCTGTCTCAGACTCATCTTCCTCATCATCTTCATTGTAGGTGTCAAATTCATCATCACCATCGAAACTGTTTGCTTCTGCACTGAAGCAAAATTCTTCTGAGTCTTCAAAGGGAGTGGAGTCCCCTGGGTCTTCTGTTGATGTCTGACTACTTGTGAAAGTTTTCTGATCTTCGTTCACATCATCTTCAGCACATTTCAACGTATAGAAGTAAAATGCTTCTGAAACAGCCTGTTTATTGTCTCCTGGTATGCCGAGGAAAACAGTTCCATTTCCCATGTTGCTTCCAAACCATATCTTGCTATGCTTAATATCTGGGGTCCAATCTGGGGTTTCCATCTCATGAATGTCTATCTTGTTATCCTTGAAAGAGATGATGTTGCAGACCATTCTTTTTTGATTTTCAAGCTGATAGCCACCAACAATAATGAATTCATCATTGTTTATTTGAGTCAGGATTGCACTGGAGACAGAGATTCCTCCTGGCAAGACTGTGCACTCCACAGCTGGGCTACCCAGGGGGAGATCAACCCTTATTCTGTACAGATTGGCAGGGCGGATGTTATTGGCAAGTGAATGGCCTCCTAAAATATAAACGGTATCATTTCTGGCAATGGAGACATGAAAAGATAGTCCATCTTGAAGTTCTGGAAGAATGTATGACGTGGAGCACCCAAATTCAAAATCCACCAAGAAGACATGGGGCAGGCAGTCAGCCACGCTGTTCCATTTCTCTGTGGTTCTTTGGGCAGAAGGTATGTATGACCGTCCTCCAAAGAGAACACCCATACTTTTCCCTCGACTATACACCACATCAATGGAATGACCATATCTGCCTTCAGGAATGTCTCCTACCAAGTCCTTCTCTGTGCAGCGAAAAGTAACTTTTTTGTTGTTCTTGCAGACAACGGACATCACATAAATCTTATCTGAAAGCTCATTGTTTGGTGTTTTTCCTCCATGGATGATGTACTGATGCTTTTCAGACTCCAACTTGCCGCTGAATGTGCAAGTGGCTGGGTATCGAAGAGGAGGAAGGTAGCAAGAATCCTTAGAGAAAACTGCAGGCTTCAGTTTGAGATGGCTATGCTTTACCTCAAAATGGAAAACTCCAGTAGGGCAAGACCTCTTGGGCCAGCCTTTTTGGCCAAAGAAGAAAACTTGCCCATCAAAATTCATTAATGAGAAGCCTGGTTGAATTAAGGCTATGCTATTACCGACTGTTACCATCTGCAGTGACATATTTTCTGACGGTGGATAGATCTTTTATCTGAAAGAATTACAAAAGAAATTTTTTTTACTTATTACGTCTCTTCATATAAAATCACTATGTGTAAATTCCCTCACATGCAAAAAGCATGTTAAAAATAAAGAGTTGTCCCACAAGTTTGCAGTGGAATAGCAAAAATTCAGGCCTCACAAGCAAAGAGACACGGAACCTTTCTGCTTAAAGCAATCCTAGCAGCTGGGCGCTGTTTTAGACATGGACTACCGTCCCTTAGATTTCTGGGAAGTGTAGTCCTTTTTCCTTAAAGATTCACCACTTGTCAGCAGAAAGAACTACATTTCCCAGGAATCCGTTCTCTATGGGACGTGTGGCTCCAGTAGTTTGCTGCTCGAGGAGACACGTCTCGCTGAGTAAAGACGCCAAAAATGCGAAGTGACTAGCTGGGAGCCAAGATGGAAGACTAGGGAATGGGAGGTGAGAATGGCTGATGCAACCTGACACCAGGGTTATGGGAAAGTTGCAGGAGGGGCGTCAGGCTACCCCTGCCCGGGTGTTTTTGGAGCCTCTCCGGGGGACTCATTAACAGATGACCGGGTAGGAAGCACAACTGCTTCTGGCCAGAGTGGGGTTGCCTGGAAACCGCCGCCTGAAGAGACTCCTGGCCGAGGTGTCCTCACGGACTCCTGCCGGAACGCTTTGGAGCTCGGACTCAAAATGGCACACTTGGGCATCCTTAGGTTGCTGGGGCGGGAGTTTGAAGGGGGCACCGAGAGTACAAAATGTGACTGTTTTGCAGAACCAGATTAGTCTCTGAATACCTAGCGGGTTGGGGAGAATCTACCTGATAATGATTTTTACCATTCCCGTGTGTAGCCATAGAAATTTGGTAATTTGACTTTAGCGAATACCTCGCCAAAGGCTGTTTTCTCAGCTGCTCTTGTCGGTTTTAGAGTTCTTTAGAGAAGCAGAGAAGTTTTCCAACACCTCTTCTCTCCCCTGTCTCTTCCCCTCCCTCCCTTCCTCCCTCTTTTTGGATAAGAAAATGAGTTAGTGGCCGTTATTGCAGATCCTTTTCCAGTACCAGAAGCTGGAAGTAATTCTTTAGTAATTCTGTTGTAAGCAAGCGTTAAGAAAAGAGGTACCAGAATTATACAGAATGTAATATTTGTATGATTTTTTAAAAGAGATATTTATCAGATGAAGTAAGCTTGATTAATTTTAAAAAATTATTACCTACCTTGAAAAGATATCAGGAGCCTTTATGTGAAATACACTCCCGGTTTGCAGACTAAATTCCTAAATTAAAGGAAACAAAAAAAGCACAGATTCCTTGACTTCTGAGAATAAACTGTTAATGTTTCAAAAACAGTGGCTAAGAGGATGGACTCTGAAAGTTGACTCCCTGGATTCAAATCCTGGCTCTGTCACTTCTATGTTACCTTGGGCGAATAATTTAACCTGTGTCTAGTTTCCTCATCTGTAAAACGAAATGATAATTTTACTTACCTCACAAGTTGATGTAAGTTGTGATTAGTAAGTTAATACATGGAAAGCGCTTAGAACAGGGCTTTGTACACTGTAAATCTTAGTTGTGATGATTATATTTGAGCTTATAAAAAGTAAGGTTGTTAATGCATAGTTAGCTGATTAGAAGGGTTTTAAGGTCTAGGAATCTGGTTAGTAGGTATAGACTGATAATTTTTTAGATTGGTGAGAATTGAATAAACATATGCAACAGTCAGTCCTAAAAAAATCAGTCCTGAATGTTCACTGGAAGGAATGATGCTGAAGCTGAAGCTCCAGTGCTTTGGCCACCTGATGTGAAGAACTGACTCATTGGAAGACCCTGATGCTGGGAAAGATTGAAAGCAGGAGGAGAAGGGGATGACAAGAGGATGAGATGGTTGGATGGCATCACTGACTCGATGGACATGAGTTTGAGTAATCTCCGGGAGTTGTTGATGGACAGGGAAGCCTGGCGTGCTACAGTCCATGGGGTCACAAAGAGTTGGACACAACTGAGTGACTGAACTGAACTGATGCAACAGAAGGGGCTTCCCAGGTGACTCAGTGGTAAAGAATCTGTCTGCAATGCTGGGGATGTGGGTTTGATCCTGGATTGGGTTGATCCCCTGGAGGAGGAAGTGGAAACCCACTCCAGGATTCTTGCTTGGGCAGTCCCGTAGAGGAGCCTGGTGTGCCTGTAGTTCATGGGGGCACAAAGAGTTGGACACGACTGTGCATGCATAGGACAGAGGTGTTAGTGGTGAGCTCAATTTAAGTAACAGGGAATATTTCATTCTTCTTGTTATCCTTTCACTAACTCCTGATTAAATATGCAGACTCTAAAGTTAGATTGTCTGAGTCCAAATTTGTCTGAAACACTTATTTGCTATTTAACTCTCTCGGCCAACTTTATCACCTCTCTTTCCTTTTTTTTTCCCTCTCTTTTCTTATCTGTGGAGATAGTATTAGTACCTATTCATTGAGTTACTTTTGAGAGTAAATGGGATGACACATATAAATCATATAGCACATATGTGATTATATATGCTGGTACATAATAAGTATTGAATAAACATTAGCCTGCCAATGCAGGATATGCAGGTTCAATCCCTGGGTCAGGAAGATCCCCTGGAGAAGGAAATGACAACCCGCTCTGGCATTCTTGCCTGGAAAATTCCATGTACTGGTCCAGGAGCTGGGGGGGCTACAGTCTATGGGGTTGCAAAGAGTTGGACAGGACTTAGTGACTGAGCATAGCACACCACACAGCAAACATTATTTGATGCTATAATTTATTTTATTCCCCCTGCAAAGTTTCCTTGGGCCATTCGGAATCTATGGTCAGTCTAATGCAGTTTTGGTGGGGCCTTGAAGATCAGATCTAATTAATTGCTAATTATTCTCTTCTAGTTATTTTTAATTTGGGAGATTCAAAGTGTGATATTTTAATAATCATCTTGTGGGTTATTAAAGCAAATGAGGAACTGGTGAATGAGAAGGATTATGCCTAAGGTTATGAAGCAAGCCTCTCTCTTCCTCAGACATGGTGGTTTGTACGTTTAGCAACTTGGCCTTGCTTATGAAATAACCTGGGCAAGTGTTTTATTTACTTGTGGCCTATCCAGGTATACACGAGAGAAGGCATCTGTGCAACTGAGAAAATGCTCTCCATTGGAACGAAAAGGAAATGTTGTTGGCACTCAGTTTAGTAAAGGAAAACCAGCAGTGATTACACTCAGCATGATGTGCAGATGATTTCAGAGTTGCCCACTCTGGGGTTGAGGAAGCACCAGCGCCAGTGCCTGCTTATTGTAAACAGTTGTGAAGACTGGGCTTCGCCCAGTAATGACTGGGCTAGAAAGCCCACTGTGCAGAGGTAATGGATCCCAGATCCCAAGGGGTGACCATACACCAAGAATGCTTGCTTTTAAACAGAAAGCTTCATTGTCGCCTATTGGCTTCATTTTAAAGTTCATGGGGATTTTGCACTTAAATTAATTTTTACATTGTGTTAGTTTCTACCGTACAACAATGAAGCAGCCACACACATCCCTTCCCTTTTGGACTTTCTTCTTGGTCAGGTCACCACAGTGCCTTAAGTAGAGTTCTCTGTGTATACAGAGAAAAAAAAGATTACTAATGAAAAATTGATTACAAATAAAGTTCACAGGGATTTTGACTTCTCATAAAGGAAAACATGGTTATTGTAGATTAAACAAACATTTTCTTAGGCAAGACATGAGGAATACTACCCCTTTGTGTAGCTTTTTCGGGTCCCCAAAGATTTCTGACCTGTTTTCCCTTTGATGTCCTGCTCTTGGCCCACCCCATAATTACAGGGCCCTAAAAATTGTGGTAAAGTTGACTACCATTAAGATGAATTACCTCTTCTTGCAACACAAAGTGTTTGTGTTTTTAATTTTTAGGTTACACATTTTAAACCGTGACCGGATGACTTAGGTATTTAAAGAATGAACAAGAACATTGAAAGTGTTTTCACTTTATTTTGCCATGTAGTTTAGATTTTGCAATTTTGCTTTACTAACTTAAATATGTCTTCACAGGACTAGACTATGGTATATTTTCCACGGTTTCAATGTGACTCTTGTCCCATCTCGGTTTTTAAATGAGTTTTTAAAAGGTGATACTATAACTAAAATAATCTACTGAAGTGGTTCTCTTTAAATAGGCCAGATAAAAACAGGCAGGGTTTGAAAAAGAAGACACTGTTCTTCGATTGAAGGAACTTTCAAAGTCAACACATTAAAGATTCTTTTTAAAAGACAGAAATATGGGACCAATAAATTTATACAAGTTTCCCAACCCCATGCTAACATCCCTCAGCAGGGAGCTTTTCACTTACTCTCTGTGAAGCTGGGGCGTAGTTGAGAATCAAAAGAGGACTCATGGTGTGAGGTCTGGGTTTGTAGTTTCCTGTGTCTGAACTGACTTTTTTTCCCTTCCAAAGAAAGCTACTGTACTCAGAAGCATTAAATCTTACTGATTAGCGTGGCACACGTTTTCCTGATTGCTCCAAAATAGCAGGTAACCTCATGTAACTGCAGTCTTTTCAGGGTGTGAATTAACCCTATCTTGCACAGTTAATCAGGCTTGAGGCACACATTGTTTGATTTCTTTTTTTGCTGACGTAGAGCCAGGATTGGGTCTTCCTTCCTTCTGACCCGTGTACCAGAGAAGCATTTATGCACTAAGATGAATATGTCAACTCGGATGCCACAGGAATAAAATCCTTTTTGCAGCCTGAGACCAGAAAGCCGCTTTCTCTCCAAATTCTACATCATCCCTTCCCCATCTGGACACCCAATCCAACTGGAACTAACATCCTGTCGAAGGGGGCATCTTTCCCAAAAAGTTGACAAGCGTAAGCTCCCAGGTTTTAGCTCCCGTAGAAATGAAGTTATTGGACCTACCTGAAGGCCAGGGGTCTGCTCAGCCCTCTCAATCTTTGCCGCTAAACCAGGTATTAAATGTCAGCACTTGGGGAAGA